GTATTTGTCCTTTTGTGACTGAGATACTTCACTCAGCATAATGTGCTCCAGGGTCACCCATTTTGAATAATATTGCATGAGTTCCTTATTTTTCAATGCAGCATAGTATTCGATTGTGTGAATATAGCACAGCTTCTCCATCCATTCATTTGTTGATGGGCACTGAGATTGTTTCCAACTCCTTGCTATTGTGAACAAAGCCCTCATAAATATGGTTGTGCATATATCTGCTTGGAAGTCAGTTATGGTCTCTTTGGGGTATATTCCCAGTAATGGAATTGCTGGGTCAAATGGTATCTCTATTTGCAACTTTTTAAGAAAGTGCCATACCGTCTTCCACAGTGGCTGCACCATTTTACACTCCCATCAACTGTGAATAAGGGTTCCAGTTTCTCCATAACCTTACCAGCTTTTGTTGCTTGCTGTTCTGTTAAATTTTGCTATTCTGACTGGGTGAAATGGTATCTCATAGTTGTTTTAATTTTTATCTCTCTTAGAGCTAGGGATTTTGAACATTTCTCCATGTGCTTGTTAGCCATCTGAATGTCTTCTTTGGTGAAGTGTCTGTTCATATCCTGTGCCCATTTTTCTACTGGATTACTTTCCTTTATCTTGTTGTAGTGCTCAAGTATTTTATAAATTCTGCATATAAGTCCCTTATCTGACATGTCATTACCAAATACTTTTTCCCAGTCTGTGGCTTCCCTCTTTACCCTGTTGGAGAAGTTTTTGGATGTGCATAGGGATTTGATTCTTAGAAGATCCCACTCATCTATTTTATCTTCTCCTGGCTATAGGTTTTTCAGGATACTTGGAAGACTGCTTATGTTGTGCATTAGGACTTGCAACGTTCTTCCAAGCTTTGAGTACTTTAAAGAGATTCTTGACAGTAAATTTTCCCAATACAGTACATCATTGATTTCTTGACTACCGCTACCAGGAGTGTTGATTATGAAGCTAAATAGACTGAAATTCTTGATTATATCAATCTTTTCTCCTCTATTATGATATTTTCCATTTATCCAGTGTTTTCTTGTTGAAATGTAATCTACATTGAAGTTTATGGTTTTTATCTTCTTCAGTAAGAGCTTCGAGTCTTCTCTTTCTACAACCAAAGTTGCATTATCTGCATGACATAACAAAATCTTTACAATATCAGCTACACTTACTACACTTATGACCCAAGGAAACCCAACCCTGCATGGTCAGGTCTTCAGCACCATTGGGTAACACACTTCTCCAGTGCACCCTGGGGATCTGTGGGCTGTCCCTTCTGTCTCAGCTCATACATACCCTCCTCCAGACAGCTTTCTTTGAACTACCACCATGACTATGTGCACAGATGCACACACCCATATCCTGCCTCTAGTAAATGTTAACTCCACTGTGTTGTGATAGTACTTTACCACTAGTCTCCATGCTCCGTGACAGAGGACATCATATTCAGTTATTCCATTCCCAATACAGATGAAGGGAAGATAAGTTGTTTTCAGACTCTTGGTCAACCTCCCAACTCCTGAGCTCACACTCAGCTCAGGCCTGTGAAGTTCCCTGGAGCCAACACTGGGCGAAACCGTTGAAGCTAAAGGAAAAAAACAGGCTCCAGGGAATGAATGTTCTTTTCAGAAAATGGTGGAAATGTGAGGAGGTGCTTCAAGGCTCTTATGACAAAGGTCACAGCCATTGCCTAGGAATATTAATAGTGCCCATTGGGCAGCAAGGAGGGGGACCTTGTTCTGGAACTCACTCCACAGATGGTCCAGGCCTGTGTGTCAAGGATGTCCCAATGGGTCTCAGAAACAGCTGCCTGTGTCCTACACATACTGGACTCATTGCAGGCAGGAAATTCCATGTTGTAATAGCTGGATTCCTTCCCTTCATTCCTGATTCATGACGAGCCAGTGAATTGGTCATTAAAGAAATCATTTAGGCAGATTTCAGGAACATCTGACTGGGGAGTTTTTTTCATCTCCCAGTGCACACATAAGAAGAAAAGTGAGAGAGGACAGAACTTGGGGCCAGGCGGCCTCACCTTCATTTCCATTGCTAGCCTGACTTATGAGAGGAAGCAGACGTGTTTCAAAGCCCTTCTTCTGTCAGCGAGGCAACTCGAGTTAGCTTGGGATGCGTTCACCACTCCCAAATGCACATTTGAAAGCTCAGCTGCTGGCCGAGGCCATGGTAGGCAGCAGAACACTTGTTGATCTGAGTAGACTACAGCAATTGCCACCAATGTCTGAAGAGGTAGTGATTTTAAACAAGCGCTTTTCAGAGAATGAGCCATTCAAACGTCAACACGCATTATCACATTATCCGGAACCACATTATCCGTCAGACTTTGCTTTGCTATAAAACGTGCTTCACATACATGCAGTCCTTTAATCTGAAAACACAAAGAAGTAAAATCACCAAACCAGCACCTTCGGCCAGAAAGCCAACCAGGGAATTCCGCTGGCATCGAATAGGTTTGGTAACAAAGAATCGCCATTCCTTTTCTTTTTTGTTTCTGCACAGTTAACGATAGGAGGACTCTAAAGTCATCTTTGCATTACATTTTCACTATTTCCCCCCTTTATTCAACAAAGGGCGTGGGGAGGGGAATCAAATTATCCGTCAGACTTTATTTCCTTACCAAAGAAAGATTCAATTTCTCTGGAAATTTAAATTTGTCTTTTCCATTTACCAAGTAAATTGTGCCACTTCTACATTTGATCTGTTCGGTCTCCATCTCGCTCAAGTCGAGACTTTATTTCATTTCCAGCCAGGTACAAGCAGTTGGTATCCTTATATTATTTCGCACTTTAAAACACTATTGCTTGGCCAGCCAAGAAGCCTGCTGGGTAAATCAAGCTCTCTGCTCTTTACTCAACCTACACACCCTTTAGAATTTTGAAACCAAAACCATACTAAGGCACAAGAATATTTTCTTAAAAAATTAGTAAACGTTAAGCTCTTTTCATTTAATTGTTTGCTTTGCTATAAAACGTGCAAGAGGGTTTATCTTTATTTACAGGGTTTTATTAGCATTTCAAAAACAGATTAAAAAGCTGAACAATTTGTAGCATAGAAGTTGTTTACAATTCTGGATCCTGAAAGGTGACTCGTGAAATAAAATTTAAAAAAAAAAATAGGTGACTAAAAAGGGATCTCATATCTTTTTACTTCAGGAATTTTAAATTCTAGAGCTTATCACTGGTGGACAGTGCTTCAAGTATGCAGCTGTTAACCTAAAGATCAGTGGTTCAATCCCACTTGGCCACCTTCGGGAGAAGTATGTGGCAGTCTGCTTCTAGATTCTAGCCTTGGAACCCCTCCAGAGCTATTCTATTCTGCCCTATAGGATCTCACTGAGTCAGATTTACCTCAATGGCAACCAGTTCAGTAAGATCCACTGAACAACCTGCAGGATTTCCTAGTGACTCCAATAATACTTACCTTGGTTGAGAAATTTGGATGTGGCTCAACCCATATGCTCAAGCTGCAGTCCAAGGTTGCCTTTCATTTAGAAAGCATGCTGTCAGCTTGGTTCAGAATATACATGGGTGAGGCATATGCTCATCAGCGCTGCCCGGGGAGATGTTGGCATAGAGAAATGTGACGGCTCTTGGTTGAAGCTGGCTTTTCATGGACTCCCCTCTTCTCTTCTCTTCTCCATAGTTACTGTGACAGTGGGAGGCAAGCAACACTTGCTCGGACTGTATGACACCGCAGGACAGGTACATTTTCATTATCTTCATTCATTAAGGGTTTGAGGGGTTGGGAGGATGTCTTATTTGGCTAGACATATGGGAGCCTTTCTAAGAAACTAACGGATAATACAGATATTACTCATACTGATCGTCTTCAGCCAATTTGTTGTCTACCTAAATGACAACCCAAAGTACATTCTTCATATTTTAAAAAATTTGCAAGTACAAATAACTAAAGCATTACAATACTCAAGGAGTCTATAGATAAAGAAAAGCCTGCTCAGGGATTGATGACTTTCATAACAGAAATAATGCATGTTTGAGCAAGAGTTTCAATTTCTTCCTATCCAGACCTATTCCAGATCCAAGATTAATGAGCCCATTTCATAGATTTTTTTGAGTGACGCTTTTTTTTAATTTCCATGTTATTTTCTCTTATCACATTCTGAGTTGCCTAACGAACTATGAAAAGGTCCAAAAAGGGCAGGGGTAGGGTATGAGGACAAAATAAGATGAAGATGGATTAAATGTTTGAGGGGTGGGGGTGGGGGGGTGGGGACAAAAGGGGTATTAAAAAAATCCCGGGTGCCTTCCAAATGTGAAATTCAACCTCAGTTATTACAAACTGGGGATTAACACAATGCTCTAAGATTCTTAATACACTCTCACTCTGTCAGAAATATGTCTTCAAATTGGCGAACTTGGTCAAGCAGTAATGTAAGGCAGTGGACTAGAGCCTACATTATCCAATCACATGCACATGCTCTACCTGTGTCTACATGACACTCCATCTTTCTGTTCTCATTCTGCTCTCTCCATTATGAAAACCTGCTGATGTTGTAAGTGCCTGGGTCAGAGGAGGAGAAACAGTTAAGCAGTGGATGGCCGTGGCCCAAGTTCTTGGATAGAGCTTTTAGTTACCATATGTCTTGGGTCATTTATTTAGGTCAAAATCAGCAGGTCGTTCAGTCTGTTCAAATTTATACATCTCAAGTCCTACCGAGTGAACATTTGACCATATTTTTTTCCACTGTGAGTTTCCTGGTAATTGTTATTTGTACTTATGCCTTTGTCTTGGCTTTTTTTCTACAGTTATCTGGAAATGTGTTATGGGGTTTTTGTTGGGTTTTTTTTTTTTCTCCTCTCACTGCAAACTCTTTGCTAGAAGGAAAAATCAATGGAATTATCTTTGGGATTTCTGCATATGTTTTCAAAGACTACTGAATGCATGTACAGTAGTTAAGCACTTAACTGATAATAGAAAGTTCCCCAGTTTGATCCCACCAACCACCACATGGTTAATAGATGTGCTTCTGAAACTATTTACAGCCCTGGAAACTCAAGGGGAAGTTCTACTTTGTGTGCAGCATTGCGGTGGTGGTGGTGGTGGTGGTGGTGGTGGTGGTGGTGGTGTCAGAACTAGCTCATAGCTGACCCTCCACTGGGTTTTCGAAGACAGTAAATCTCATGGGAGAGGATTGCCCATCTTCCTTTCACGGAACAACTAATAGATTTGAACCATTTATCTTTGGGTTGCTAGTATAATTCTTTATCACTGTTGTTGTTGTTGTTATGTGCCATCAAGTCGCTTGCGACTCATAGCGACCCTATGTACAACAGCCCTAAACTCTGCTCTGTCCTGTGCCAATCACACTGTCTCTCACACTCCCATCCCGATTATCCCAGTCACTGAATCAATCCACCTCATAGAGGGCCTTCCCTTCCTGCGCCGTCCCTCCACCCTCCCAAGCATGATGTCCTTCTCCAAGGACCGGTCTCTCCTCACAACATATCCAAAGTATGTTAGACGGAGCCTCAGAATCCTTGCCTCCAAGGAGCCACCTGGTTTAACCCTTTCCAGGATGAATCTGTTTGTTTTCCTAGCAGTCCATCACTAAGCTAACAGATATTAAATCAATAATATCACATGCAAGCAAAAGCTTGCTGAAGATTATCTATAAGTGACTGGAAGGGTACATTGACAGAATTACCAGAAATACAAGCTGGATTTGGAAGAGGTAGTGACACTAGGGACATCATTGTCAATGTCAGATGGATCTTGACTGAAAGCAGAAAGTAACAGAGGAATGTCTGTGTTTCATTGACTATGAGAAGGCATGTGACTGCATGGATCACAACAAATTGTGGTTAACCTAGAGAAGAATGGGAATTTCAGAACACTTGATTGTGCTCAAACTAAGCTTGGACCAGAAAGCAGTCTTCAAAACAGAGCAAGGAAACACTGCATGGTTAAAAATTAGAAAATAAGTGTGTCAGGGCTGTGTTCTATCTCCATATCTTTTCAATCTGTACGCAGAACAGATCACTTGAGAGCTGGATTTTATGAAGAGAAATGTGGCATCAGATTTGGAGGAAGACTCATCAACAACCTACATTTATATAGATGACACAGACTTACTTGCTGAAACTGAGGAGAACCTGAAGCATTTGCTGCAGAGGGTCAAGGACTGTTATTTGAAATATGTGCTAAAGTTCAACATCAGGAAAACAAAGATTCTCACCACTGGGCAGATTGACAGCATCATGATAGATGGGAAAGAGATTGAGATTATTAACAATTTCAGCTTGTTCAGCTCCACAATCAACACTCTTGGCACTAGCAATCAGGAAATCTAAAGATTAATTGCATTCAGAAAGTCTGCTGTCAAGGACATTTCCACAGGGATGACAAGTAAGAATATCAATCTAGAGACTTAGGTGCACCTGATCCAGGCCATGGTCTTTGCAACTAATTGCTATTGCATCACAGAGCTGGATAATGATCAAAGATGACAGAAGAAGAACTGATGATTTTTAGTAGTGCTGGGGAAGAAAGAGTTCTGAACCTACCATGGACTGTCAAGAAAACTAACCATCTATCCTAGAGAGAATGAAACCAAGCTGCTCCTTGGACACAAGGATTTTGAGACTCCATCCCAAACACTTTTGGCATGTAGCCAAAAGGGACTAATCTTTGAAGAAAGATATAATGATTGGAAGAGTCAAGGGACAGTGCAGAAGAGGAAGACCCCAGATGAAATGGACTGACAAAGTAACTGGGGTAATAAGGATAGGTGTGTCAGAGATCGTGAGATTGGCTCAGTGTAGAGCAGGATTCAGAGCTATTGTGCGTAGAGTCAGTATGAGTCGTAGTCATCTTGATGGCACATAACCACACAGCAAGCCACCAGAACTCCTTGGTTATTATGAATCAAAATGAACCCAAGGGTAGTAGATGTCATTTGGGTATAAATGCACAAGGACCATCAAAGTCTGATAGCAGTCCCACTAGGGTAGCGGGGGACCTGTACAACCTGCATCTGGCTCCAAACACCTAAAAATGTTCACCTTCCTCCCTTATTGACAAATAACTACTTTGTCAAGCTATTCTCAGCAACTTGAGACTTGAAGAAATCCTTTGTGTTAACAACAAACTACAGAAGTAGGAAAATCTGTTTCTCAAATTATGGTGTTGATTGAGAGTATTGAATATACCATGAACTGCCCAAAGAACCAACACATTTGTCATGGAGAAAGTGCAGTGAGAGCCCCTTAGAGGCGAGGATAGTGAAACTTAGACTCATATGCTTTGGGATGTTATTAAGTCCAGTCCTTGGAAAAACATATCATACTGGGGAAAGCAGAGGATCAGCAAAAGAGAGGACAACCCTCAATGAGATGAAGTGGCACAGTGGCTGTACCATTGGGCTCAAGTCTGGCAGAGATTGTGAGGACGGCACAGCATAGGGCAAAGTTCTGATCTGTTATTCATAAGGTAGCTAGGAGTTGTAGTTGACTCAGCAGCACCTAACAATAACAGGTTACCAAACAGAAGAATCAACCTGTCTCTTCTGACCTATAAGGCTTCGGTGCTGTGCACACTGGACTTCTTCCCCACCAGACAGTTTTCTAACAATAGCAGGATGTGATTCTTGGAGCTGAATTTTGCCTACTCAAATGAGATCACATGAATATGGAGTGTCACCATTTATCAAGTATTCACAGCCTGAAAGAGAAAGAAGTTTATACCTTTCTTTCCCATAATCAGATTTTCTGAACATAATCTAGTTTCAAAGCTTCAGTACTAGAAAAAAATTTTTCCTGACTCTGCAGCTTTTAAAATGTTTTCTTTGGATTCTAAAAAGAAGAGGAGGAGGGGAACGCACCGCACACTCTTCACACAAGGTCTCCACTTGTTCCTTCCTCTGTAGGAATCCACAAAAACTATTCATTTCTGTTAATCCAGAACAACCTTCACAGACTTCTATTTCATTTCAAGTCCAATAAAATGACTTGAAAACGCTGGTAAAATTCAATTATTCTTTACCATTGCTCTGTCCTTTTTGAGGAAAGTTTCTTCAAACTCCTATCAGAGAAAGTAAAAATAGCCCAAACCTCTGACCCAGTAAAAGTGATGAACATTTGTAAAATATAACAAATGGGTTATAATTATTTCTGCAACTTAACTTTAATTTACTGCTTTCCACCAGCTCCTCTGAAAACTCAGAAGAGGACCAAGTTTTGAGGGAAGCATAAAACGTAAGGGAAAGGAATAAGAACATATCTTAAGGTTTCTTGTCATCCTAAAATTCTATGACTGATTTATTGTCATCAAGTAAAAACTAACTCAAATTTGACCCTCTAGCTTGGGACGGTAGAGGACAGTGCAGGAGAGGAAGATCCTCTATGAGGTGAATTGATTCAGTGACTGGAGGAATAGGGATAGGTGTTGTCAGAGATAGTGATATTGGCACAGGATAGATCAGGCTGTTGTACATAGGGTCGCTATGACTCACAGGCGACTCGAAGGCACATAACAACCAAAACAGTGGGTTTCCAAGGCTGTAAATCGCACAGGAGGGAAATTGCCCATTTTTCTCCCTCAGAGCAGCTGTCTTGGATTCATAATTAATGTCTTTAGTACCAGCAGTCAGGCCATCAGGACACATATAGCATAGGGAAGTCTGCTGTCTGGGATCTTTCCAAAGTCAAGAAGAGCAATGAGGTCGGTGTAAAGACTAAGGTAT